TATGTCCCAACCCCGCTCCTGGAAGGCATATCCTCTGTCTGACCTTCCTATTTCTGTTGCATAAAGCATGGTCTGTATATCTTACCTGAGAATCTCATACAATTAGGATATTCTTACCTTGATTAGCAGGGGAGTCAGTGATACCTTTAACCTCACTAACCACTTCGGTACACTCGTCCTGGAGAACAGAGAATCGATTTCCTACCTTCACGTCTTATCTATTAACCCTCCTTATCTTCCTTCTTCTTGAGCTGTGAACCATTTGCCACTTAAGGCAGCTGCCACTCTCACAGCTGGTGACCATTTCCTCTGTACCAGCTCCATCCATCTCACACTCACTCCCAGACCCATATAGGCGAAGCTTCAGCCTCCCAGTTTCCTCCTGAAGTGGTAGAACCTCCTCCTTCAACACTTTAACCTGAGATTCTCAAACACTACAACAAGCCATGGTGCTCGGTAACACCCCACACTGGGGGTTAGTACTGTGCTTTGTGGAACAGAACTTTTACTATTACTTCTTTTGTTCTGTTGGTCAAAAAGTTAATGATCCATTTGCCCACTTTTCCAGTTATTCCTTGACCATGCATTTTGTTTCCTATTGCATCATGATCACACTTGTCGAAGGCTTTCACGAAGTCTGTGAATCCTACATCTGCATTCTGTATGTCCTCCAGTGCATCCACTCCCTGTCATAGTGGTCCAGTAGTTGTGAATGGCAGGAGTGACCTGCTCTAAACCCATGCTGCCTGGGCAGCATTGGTTAAGAAGAATTCAAGAAGAATCTACTTCTGGAACGTCATTGGTCGGGAGGAATCTACACCTGACACGTCATTGGTCAGGAAGAAAGTAGTTTTATCACGCCATTGTATAGGAAGAGAATAATTTTGAGACGCCATTGGTTAAGAAAATTCTAAACTTGACACGCCAATAGTCAGGAAGATTCTACACTTGGCTCGCCATGGGGCGGGAAGATTCTACACCTGGCTCGCTATTGGTTGAAAGGCGCGACGTCGGGAGAGCCTGAGTATAAGAGGAGCGACATACGTGAACTACCTAACATTCTACCTTGGTGTCTTCCCTGTGAGTGGTAATACTCTCGTGCCATCCCCTGTGGTAATAATACTCTGGTGCTTCGCCTGTGGCAATACTCATTCTTCAGCAAGGTAAGAGACACTGAGACGTGAGACACCGTGAGTATATATACGACGAGAGTATCATTACTTTAGATATTATTATTAAAGATTCGCCGGTAGTCTCCCGGCCCGGGCCTTTTCCAAGTGGTGGCCCGGCCTTGGCTCCATGTCTAGAGAGTGTCTGAGAATAAGTCTCCCATGGGAGATTACTTTAGTGAATATAAACTTTCGTCACTGGCGGTGAACAGGTTCGGTGCAGCCTTAATTGCTCTCGTGTAGTTGATAGGCTTCAAACCCCCAACTGGAAAGGAACTTTTGGGTGGTAATGAGGAGTATGAGGTGCCTGTAAAGGTATATGAGGTGCTAGTGAAGGTGTACGAGGTGCTGTGTATGGGGACTTTGTATGAGGAGTTGGGTAGGGGGAGTTGTGTATGAGAAGCTGTGTATGAGGAGTTGTGTAGGGAGTTACGTATGAGGAGCTGTGTAGGGAGTTACGTATGAGGAGCTGTGTAGGGAGTTATTTAGACATCTACAGGAGGGTAGTTAAGATGAAAATTATTACTATTATTATTATTATTATTATTATTATTATTATTATTATTATAATTATTATCATTAGTAGTAGTAGTAGTATTAGTAGTAGTAGTAGTAGTAGTAGTAGTAGTATTAGTATATGAATGTCTTAATTATTTCGGCCAGTGACCAAAGCTGGCCAGAAGGGTAGTCTTAATGACCTATTGTGGTCCATACGACCAGGTCTGGTGTGGTCTTGACTATTTATCCCAGCTACTACTACTACTATTGGTTGCTTCTATGTACCACTAAAGAAAGAATGATTACACCTACAATATATATAATATATATATTATATATATATATATATAATATATATATAATATATATATATATATATATATAATATATATATATATATTAAATCTTCTGTACCATATTATGCAATAAAATATTCCTATTAGTAAAAAAAATATATATCAAAAGATGGGGTGGTAGGGAAGTGGAATATTCAAACGGCTTCAGGAAGAAATCCAAATATTCTTCCTTGAAGCCTTTTTATCCACTTCTCCGAGGCTATGGGTCCCACACATATATATATATATAATATATATATATATATAATATATATATTATATATATATATATATATATAATATATGATATATATATATATATATAATATATATATATATATAGAACACACAAGAGCAGGCGAAATATACACAAACTTCAGACAACACTGTGAGAATGACCCTGAGTCTTGAGGGACGCTAATGGAGGCCTGACCTGAGCCCTGAAGGTCACTAGTGGAGATTTGACCTGAGCCCTAAAGGTCACTTATTAAGCCCTGGCCTGAGCCCTAAAGGTCACTAATTAAGCCCTGGCCTGAGCCCTGAAGATCACTAGTGGAGCCCTGACCTGAGCCCTGAAGGTCACTAGTAAAGCCCTGACCTGAGCCCTGAAGGTCACTAGTGGAGCCCTGACCTGAGCCTTGAAGATCACTAGTGGAGCCCTGACCTGAGCCCTGAAGGTCACTACTTAAGCACTGACCTGAGCCCTGAAGGTCACTAGTGGAGCCCTGACCTGAGCCCTGAAGGTCACAAGTGGAGAGCTGACCTGAGCTCTAAAGGTCACTAATTAAGCCCTGGACAGAGCCCTGAAGATCACTAGTGGAGCCCTGACCTGAGCCCTGAAGGTCACTAGTAGAGCCCTGACCTGAGCCCTGAAGGTCACTATTGAAGCCCTGACCTGACCTCTGAAGGTCACTAAAGCCTGACCTGAGCCCTGAAGGTCACTAGTTAAGCCCTGAAGGTCACTAGAGGAGCCCTGACCTAACTCCTGAAAGCCACTAGTGGAGCCCTGACATGAGCCCTCAAGGTCACTAAGTGGAGACCTGACCTGAGCCCTGAAGGTCACTAGTAGAGCCCCTGACCTGAGCCCTGAAGGCCTCTAGTGGAGCTCTGACCTGAGCCCTGAAGGTCACTAGTGGAGCCCTGACCTGAGCCCTGAAGGTCACTAATTAAGCCCTGGCCTGAGCCCTGAAGATCACTAGTGGAGCCCTGACCTGAGCCCTGAAGATCACTAGTACAGCCCTGACCTGAACCTTGAAGGTCACTAGTGGAGACCTGACCTGACCCCTGAAGGTCACTAGTGGAGCCCTGACCTGAGCACAGAAAGTCACTAGTGGACCCTGACCTGAGCTCTGAAGGTCACTAGTAGAACCCTGACCTGACCCCTAAAGGTCGCTAATTAAGCCCTGACTTGAGCCCTGAAGGCAACTAAACCCTGACCTGAGCCCTGAAGGCCACTAAACACTGACCTGAGCCCTGAAGGCCATTAAACCCTGACCTGAGCCCTGAAGGTCACTACTTAAGCCCTGAAGGTCACTAGTGGAGCCCTGACCTGAGTCCTGAAAGCCATTAGTGGACCCCTGACCTGAGCCCTCAAGGTCACTAAGTGGAGCCCTGAAGGTCACTAGTGGAGCCCTGACCTGAGCTCTGAAGGTCACCAGTTAAGCCCTGACCTGAGCCCTGAAGGTCACTAGTGGAGCCCTGACCTGAGCCCTGAAAGTCACTAGTTAAGCCCTAACCTGAGCCCTGAGGGTCACTAGCGGAGCCCTGACGTGAGCCCTGAAGGTCACTATTGGAGCCCTGACCTGAGCCCTGAGGGTCACTAGTGGAGCCCTGACCTGAGCCCTGAAAATCACTAGTTAAGCCCTAACCTGAGCCCTGAAGGTCACTAGCGGAGCCCTGACCTGAGCCCTGAAGGTCACTAGTGGAGCCCTGACCTGAGCCCTGAAGGTCACTATGTGGAGCTCTGACCTGAGTCCGAAGGTCACTGGTGGAGCCCTGATCTGAGCTCTGAAGGTCACTATTGGAGCCCTGACCTGAGCCCTCTGAAGGTCACTATTGGAGCCCTGACCTGAGCCTTGAAGGTCATTAGTGGGGCCCTGACTTGAGTCCTGAAGGTCACTAAGTGGAGCTCTGACCTGAGTCCTTAAGGTCACTAGTTAAGCCCTGACCTGAGCCCTGAGAGTCACTAGTTAAGCCCTAACCTGAGTCCTGAAGGTCACCAGTGGAGCCCTGACCTAAGCCCTGAAGGTCAATAGTGGGGCCCTGACCTGAGCCCCGTAGGTCACTAGTGGAGCTCTGACCTGAGCCCTGAAGGTCACTAGTGGAGCCCTGACCTGAGCGCTGAAGGTCACTAGTGGAGCCTTGACCTGAGCCCTGACCTGAGCCCTGAAGGTCACTAGTGGAGCCCTGACCTGAATCGTGAAAGTCACTAGTGGAGCCCTGACTTGACTCCTGAAGGCCACTAAGTGGAGCCCTGACCTGAGAACTGAAGGTCACTAGTGGAGCACTGACCTGATCCCTGAAGGTCACTAGTGGGGCCCTGACCTGAGCCCTGAGGGTCTCTAAGTGGAGCCCTGACCTGAGCCCTGAAGGTCACTAGTGGGGCCCTGACCTGAGCCTTGAAGGTCACTAGTGGAGCCCTGACCTGAGCCCTTAAGGTCACTATGTGGAGCTCTGACGTGAGTCCTGAAGGTCACTGGTGGAGCTCTGACCTGAGTTCTGAAGGTCACTAGTGGAGCCCTGACCTTAGCCCTGAAGGTCACTAGTGGGGCCCTGACTTGAGTCCTGAAGGTCACTAAGTGGAGCTCTGACCTGAGTCCTGAAGGTCACTAGTTAAGCCCTGACCTGAGCCCTGAGAGTCACTAGTTAAGCCCTAACCTGAGTCCTGAAGGTCACCAGTGGAGCCCTGACCTGAGCCCTGAAGGTCAATAGTGGGGCCCTGACCTGAACCCCGTAGGTCACTAGTGGAGCTCTGACCTGAGCCCTGAAGGTCACTAGTGGAGCCTTGACCTGAGCCCTGAAGGTCACTAGGCTGGCCCTGACCTGAGTCGTGAAAGTCACTAGTGGAGCCCTGACCTGAGTCCTGAAGGCCACTAAGTGGAGCCCTGACCTGAGTACTGAAGGTCACTATGACTGCTGCAAAGGCACATGACCTGACACTGAAAGTCACTAGTGGGACCCTGACCTGAGCCCTGAGGGTCACTAGTGCAGCCCTGACCTGAGCCCTGAAGGTCACTAGTGGGGCCTTGACCTTAGCCTTGAAGGTCACTAGTGGAGCCCTGACCTGAGCCCTGAAGGTCACTATGTGGAGCTCTAACCTGAATCCTGAAGGTCACTGGTGGAGCCCTGACCTGAGCTCTGAAGGTCACTAGTTAAGCCATAACCTGAGTCATGAAGGTCACTAGTGGAGCCCTGACCTGAGCCCTGAAGGTCACTAGTGGGGCCCCGACCTGAGCCCTGAAGGTCACTAATGGAGCCCTGACCTAAGCCCTGAAGGTCACTAAGTGGAGCCCTGACCTGAGTCATGAAGGTCACTAGAGAAGCCCTGATCTGAGCCCTGAAGGTCAGTAGTTAAGCCCTGACCTGAGTCTTGAAGGTCACAAGTGGAGCTCTGATCTGAGCCCTGAAAGTCACTTAGTGGAGCCGTGACCTGAGCCCTGAAGCTCACTAGTGGAGCCTTTACCTGAGCCCTGAAGGTCACTAGTAGAGCCCTGACCTGAACCCTGAAAGTCACTAGTGGAGCCCTGACCTGAGCACTGAAGGTCACTAATTGAAGCCCTGACCTGAGTCCTGAAGGTCACTAGTGGAGCCCTGACCTGAGCCCTGAAGGTCACTAGTGGAGCCCTGACCTGAGTCCTGAAGGTCACTAGTGGAGCCCTGACCTGGGTACTAAAGGTCACTAGTGGAGCCCTGATCTGAGCCTTGAAGGTCACTAGGGGAGCCCTGACCTGAGCCCTGAAGGTCACTAAGTGGAGCTGCGACCTGAGTCCTGAAGGTCACTAGTGGAGCCCTGACCTGAGCTCTGAAGTTCACTAGTTAAGCCCTAACCTGAGTCCTGAAGGTCATTAGTGGAGCCCTGACCTGAGCCCTGAAGGTCACTAGTGGGGCCCTGACCTGAGCCCTGAAGGTCACTAAGTGGAGCTGTGACCTGAGTCCTGAAGG